ATTTATGTGTTAGTATTTTGTCCAATTTCTGTATGAAGAAAGGAAGAAAAAAAATTCAGATTCTAATCACTAATTAATTAATGAATCCTTGTTAATTTATATTGTGGATGCAGCCCGGCTTGTGAAATTGAATATGGTTCCACTATACCTACAACCAGGAGCAGACTTGTGATGGAGTCAACTTTGCTTCAGCTGGATCAGGTGTTTTTGACACTGCTAATTCTGGAGTGGTATGCGTGTTGGTTCTTTTATTTTATTTTTTCTGAAGACATTAATTAAGTTGGCTTAGTTATTCCATATACAATTTTCTTTTCAGATAAACCTTCCCAAGCAACTAGCCAATTTCAAGAAGGTGGTAAGTGCATTGGACAAGGATGTGCTGATAAGATCTGTGTTCTTGATTAGCATGGGAGGGAATGATTACTTTAACTTCAACACCATAAACCCCAATGCGACTCAATAACAGAACGAAAGTAGTATCAAAGGATGGTGATTGGCAATTTAACTAATGCACTCAAGGTATAAGATCAGTAGCGTTCCCTCGTGGTCAATCAAACAATGCGATTTAATGAAAATTATCTATTTTTTTCACCTTTCCTTGCAGGAAATATATGACCATTGGGTTGTATGCCATTGATCAAGCAATTTTTCCCTCAACTAAATGGAAGTTGTAACAGTAACTTTTTAGTACATGCGACACTACACAACAATTTCACAAACATTTTGGAAGTATATCTAATATTATTAATTTATTATAACTTAAAACATATCTTAGAATCTTAAACACACTCATTAGATACTATATAAAATGTTTAGTCAATGTTGTTTAGTAGGTTTGACCTTCAATTAAATATCAACATCAACGAAATTTTACTTGTGAGAAATAGACGCTGGAAATTGAGAAAGTTCCCATTTAGTTATTGCTGTTCTACATCATGCATGATGAAGGCAGTGGACCCATGATTTGAAAGCAGTGGACTCCATGGATGAAAACCATAGTTCCAAGCATTTTCTATGGTACCCCACAACATTCAACATCAACCCTATCTACAGTTGTGCTTCCATGTCGATCCATCGCATCTTGTCTTGTCTTCCATCGCGTCTTCTGATACAACACGGTTGTTCCTATAGCCACTATTGATGAGATGATTCGTTTTCACACACTACAATATCTTCTGATTGTTAGATAATTAAGTCAAACAGTTTAAAGAAATTAAAGTCTCAATTTCATAAATATTTGTAAGGATAGGGAGAGCTAAAAGAGTTTAATTTCTACAAACCAGTTAATACGCAATTCTATTTGTTAGCTAGTGCAAATTAAAAAAAATTCATTAATTTTGGAGAACCAAAATTCTATCTAGATTTTTTTTTCTTTTAAGTGAGATGTCCGGGCCAGCTTACTCACACCTTGACTACTTCTAAGAAGAAACTATCTCATAACAACCCATTGTCACGCCCCCCAGATAAATCATAGGAAAAGGTATTATATTTACGTCCAGTGGAAAATCAAACCTGGAATTGTGAATTAAAGTCATGTACAATCCCCTTGGTTCGCCCTTGCCACTAAGCTACCCATGGGTGGGTAATCCTATCTAATTTCTGCTTAATTTAGATCATGTGACAAAGGTTATCGTGGGGCAATCTTATTTAATTTGTTTCATGGTTTAAAAGCAAAGCTTCTTCAACAAAAAGAAACATAAGCCCTGTCCCAGTTGTTTTGGAAATTTTAGTCAAAATTTAGACGAAAACCCCGTGTGGAAATTAAAGAGAAGGAGCGTCTTTACAACATGCGTGTGGGGCCAATAATCTTGGGAAAATTCCATGTGAAATGAACAACCTGCAGATATTATTGGTTAAAAATTTCCGCCACTAAAAGAAAATTCTCACAACATATTCGATTATAAATAGCCAGTGAGAGACCAAACCAATAAGCAACAACATTCAAGTGGAAGCTAGCTCGTTATTATTAAGTTCTGTTCCATGGCGAAGTCAAGCAACCTTGTTGTTGATTAATCTTGTATGCAACCGCTCTCAATTTCATTGGGTGTTATGCAGCTCGCGCAGTCATCCAAGAAACTATTGTTTGTGTTTGGAGACTCGCTCTTTGATCCTGGCAACAATCAGTACCTCAATAGTTCAATGGAAAGCACAGGAACGTATTTTCCTTATGGTATGACTATGAACAACAAATCCACAGGCAGAATATGGATGGCCTTCTGGTTCTGATTTATTGGTAAGATAAGAAACTCTTGCATTGTCATTTCTCGGGTTAATTAATTCCAAAATTGAGACGTTGATCAACGTAGTTTATTTTTTGCAGCCCTATTTAGAAACCTTTCAGTGGATCCACCATACATGCAACCAGGAGTGATTTAAAAAGGTGCTAACTTTGCTTCTGTGGATTGGTGTACTAGGAGAAAGTAATGGGTGGTAGACTTTTCCATTATTATATATGGTCAGAAATTAAAGGAGGTAACATCATCAATATGATGTCAACTTGAATTAAATTCCTTATGGGGGTTGTCAATTTATGAATATCGAGTCAATATAATATTAACTAAACTAATATGTTTTTGTAATACATCTAAAATGTGGTCTCTACTTTTCAGATGAATCTGAAAACAATTGGAGAATTTCAAGAAGGTGGTAACTTTATTAGTAGAAAAGAAAGGTGAGCAAGAAGCCAAGAACATTTTAACGAGCTTCGGTTACTTATTCAGCATGGGAGGCACGATTACTTTAGGTATAACATGCAGTATCCAGTTCCAATAAATTGAAAGAGTAGCATTCATGCAGGCGGTGGTAGCCAACTTAACAAATGGGTTCAAGGAAATATATGCACTGGGAGGAAGGAAATTTGCGATCCAGAATGGTGGACCATTAGGTTGCTTGCCATCCACAAAGCAAATCACCCTGAATTGAATGGTACTTGTGTTTAAAATTCTTAACACACCCAAAACTACACAACCAAGCTCTAGCTAATAAACTTAACAAGAAGGCAAAGGAATTACCGGGATTTAAATACTCGATCATGAAATACTACTACACTCGGTGGGATGAATAAACAATGCTACAAAATATGGTAAGTAGTTTAAACTAACATTTTTTTTTTTTTTTGGAAAAAGTAAATTTCATAAAAGAAGAGAAACTATAATAAAACTAGGACCATACTCCTAGAAGAGGTCAAAAAAAGACCAGATCATACGTGTCCATCTGTTTAAAGGAGAGAAATGGGCTCAGGCGCCCTAACATATGTTTAAACGATAATAATATATGTGATGAATTTATGTATTTCTAATCCTTTGTGTTTATGTTTCGAAGGTTTCAAGGAAGGGAAAGTGGCATGTTGCGGCAGTGGGCTATACAATGGACGAAATTGTGGACAAGGTTCATATATTTATGCAAGAATCAAGTGATTAGTGTTCTTTGACGGTGGCCATACGACTCAGAACACAAATCGCCAACTAGCAGAGCTACATATGGAGTGGAGAACCAGCTGTTACTGGACCTTATAAAGTGAAGAACTATTTGAGTTTCCTTGATTCCATTCTTTTATATAGTATGTACCCATCTGGATTCGATTTTATTATGTATCCATCTTGATAGACAGTGAATAAATTATCATTCTTTTTGGTTTGCTTTATCTTTCACAATAGATGTAGTACTTTTTGAGTGAATGCATTTTCCCACCCCAAGCTTTCCTCAATTACCGTTCCCACCATAAACTTTGAAAAAAAAAAAATCCTACCTATCGTTAAATTCAAACGTTTATTAACAAGGGCATTTTTGTCATTTCTCAGATATATATTATAGAGCCAGTGTTACTGACACCGCTAAATTACAAACACATACTATTACCTTCACCCATTTAGAATTAACATTTAATCCTTTATCTTCAATTTCTATAATTACAAAACAATATTTCATTAAAATTTATAAAATTATTAAACAAATATAATTTCCAAAAAAAATGAAAAATTGTAAGAAAAATCGAAAAATAAAAAATTAAGAAAATTTGAAAAACTGGAAAAAAAAAAAATTGGTAGGAATCGCACTTGGCCAAGTATGATTCAGGCCAACTTATTTTATTTTCATTTTTTTCAATTTTTTATAATTTTTTTTTTTATTCAGTAACTGACTTTATTTAATTTTTAAAAAAAATTAAACCTAAAATAATATAAACCAAACTAGGGGTGAAAAATATATTTAATAAAGTTTGGGTGGAAAAATGTATTCATTTCATAAAAAATTATAAAGTCAAATAGTAAAGGTATTATAATCTTTTCGATATTTACCCCTGTCAGGTAACAAAATCCATGTCAGAGATTGACGATGGGTGGGAAATTGTTTTTTTTTTTTTTTTTTTTCCCCCCAAAGTTTATGAGTGGAAGATAAGTAATCAGCAAACCTTGGGTGGGAATTATAAAGTTTAATTTTTTATATATAATGGGACGATGAATATGACTTCATGGTAGAAGAAATGTCGTCTCGGGCTTTGAAGATACGATGTTTAGGTGTTAATTAATTGATGAATTATAAAAGTTAATCAAATATAAGTGATAAACATCGCATAATTCTCTCACAGCTCATTGCTGTAGAAATATAATACAAGTACCCCATCCCCAGTCGAAAATTGAAAGAGATCTTTGCAGAATGCGTGGGGACCAATGTTCAAAGACAAAACACCATGTGAAATTGAATAAAATTCATAAAAAGATGATAAATATTATATATTATGTCTCGCACACTTCTTCCACACATGTAAACCACTATACTTCACGGTGTTCCTTTATAAATAGGCAGTGAGAGAAAGCAACAATATTGCAAAACTCACAGGCGAGGACAAGCATTAACCTTCTTTATGCCATAATCTTGTGTGCAATCGTTCAGTTCAGTTGGGTGCTATGCAGTCAGTCGAAGAAACTACTGTTTGTTTGGAGACTCACTCTTCGATCCAGGCAACAACCAGTACATAAAAAATTCAGCGAAACCCGCACAACATGGTATCCTTATGGAATGACATGAACAACAAATCCACCGGCAGATTTTCAGATGGCCTTATAGTTCCTGATTACATCGGTAAGATCTTTGTCAATTATTTCTTTGTAGTTAAACTATTAATTAAGTTAAAGATGTTGATGAATGTATTTCACTCCTTGAATTTTCAGCCCAATTTGCAAACCTTTCAGTGGTTCCTCATACTGCAACCAGGAGCAGATTTAACCAATGGAGCTAACTTGCTTCTGCCGCAGGTGGTGGTCTAGACGTCAAATATGGAGTGGTATGTTTTTATTTCTCCTTTTTTAGAGAAAAATATCAACAAAGTAAGTTAGAAACTGTTGTTTTTTGAATTTTTTAGCCACCTTTCCAGCTAAGTTTCTGATGGTTAATTCATTGAAGTGGGCTCAAGTTTTTATTTCTCTCTCACTGGTTCCATAGACTGTCGGCAACAAATTTAGGAGATGTCTTAATCATCAATAGGTCAACTTCAAATAAGTTCCCGTACTATAGGGTCCATTTCTGCACCATTTATATAAAAATTTTTATAATACATCTTAATATTTCCGTTGGTTTCAGCTGAATCTTAAACAACAGTTGGCTATTTCAAGAACGTTGCAAAATTAATATCAAAGAAAGTAGGAGCGCCAGAAGCCACAAAGATTTTAGGTAGTTCGTGTACTTATTCAGCTTCGGAGGCAACGATTACTTTCGGTATGACTCCAGCAACGCTGATGCCACTCATTCTGAAAGAGATATACATGCGCATGGTGGTAGCCAATTTAACAAATGGCTTCAAGGTAACAATATTCTGACGCCATTTTAGGTCTATTCCGATGAGTTCTTGCGTCGGGGAAGGCTGTATTTCCCACGTATAGTTGTACTGAAACTTGTTGTATGATTTGCAGGAAATATATAATATGGGAGGAAGGAAATTTGCGATCCAGAGTGTTGGGACCGTTAGGTTGCTTGCCCGTTATAAAAGCAGTGCACACTGTACAAATGGCTCTTGTGTTGAAAATTTCCTAACGCATGCAAATCAAAACAACAAAGCTTTATCTAATCAGCTCAGCAAGGCCAAAGAATTATCTGGTTCAAATATTCGATCATGGACTACTTCTTTAATCTCCTTTACCGAATTAATAACCCTACAAAATATGGTAATATTAAGTTATATACAGTCAAAAAATATATATGTTTATGTCTACTGTCTAGTTTGAACTTAATGAACTTCAATTTTCTGTGCTGATTATGTTTTGAAGGGTCAAGGAAGGGAAAATTGCATGTTGTGGCAGTGGACCATATAATGGACTGAACTGTGGAGGAGGTTCATACAAGTTATGCAGTAATCCAAGTGACTATCTGTTCTTTGATGGCGGCCATACATCTCAGAAGGCAAATCTTCAGATTGCAGAGCTAATATGGAGTGGAGTACCAATGTACTGGACCTATAATGTGAAGCAACTATTTGAGTCTTGATAAGATTATTTAGTGAATAAATATCATATTTTAATATGTTTCTTTTAAATAATGTTTTTTGGAGCAATAGATAATGTAGACTTATTTTCAATAATCTTTTGTTACAATTGAATCATATAAAAAGTTGATGAATTTGTCTTTTGCTTTTTGTATAACTACCAAAAAGTTTGAAAACTACCGTCACCACTTTCCGTGAAGGTATGTTAATAAAACCCATTAACTACGTGATACAGTAACTGTAAAATTAAAAATAACTGACTATTTGAATCTGAAAATAAAAAGGCTATTTAGGTAATTTCAAAATCTAAAATAATTTTAAAAAAAATTCATCCTTTTTCTCCCAAATTGCATCTTCTCTTCTCCATCCCTCTTCCTTCTCTTTGTCCACGCCGTCATGCCGGCAGCCGACGACCAAGCTTTCTCTTCTCTTCCTTTTCTTTTCTCTCTTCAACATCACTTGCTTATGTCTACACTACCAAAAGAAATAAATCAGTTCATAACAGAATCACATTCACATGCAAACCTGTAATTTGCCCGTATCAAGCATCGCTTGCGTCAGCCTCCTCCCTCGATATCTCCAACATTCTAGCCTCAAGTCCCCCTTTGTCTCCTCACATGTTCTTAGCCTCTCAACTCCTTGGCCGCTAACTTCTCTCTTCAGAGCTGCTTCTCTACTCTCTGTGGTGTTCCCACTCTCTCTGTCCACCAACCTTCTCTTCCTCTACTTTTTCCCTCCTCTCCCCAAATTCACCGAATTGCCACTTCCACCACCACTACACTACCGTGGACCGTTATGTTCTTCTCATATCTCCACCGTTTTCTCCGATTTCACCCTCTTAATCAAAAAACTCCAAATCGGTATCATATTACCACGGAAAATAATGCGAATGGCATCCACAGACCGTGCATTTGATTGCTCGTCGAACTGTACGGTCCAAGTGGCCTTCTGAAGCCACTCTATATGGCCTCTGGTTGAACCGTCGACGAGCTCTGAATTCTGGAGACAAACAAACAAACAAACAAAAGTGAGATAAATTTGAGCTGTACTTTCAAATTCGAATCCTAATTTGTAAATCTGAATGAGTGAATGCACACCTATGCTACACACACAGTACGTATGGGTGGACAAAAAGAAGATGATGAAATTGAAAGCTAAATTGAGAGGCAGACAAAGCAGATCTGACAGAATGGCGGCGAAGGAAGAAAGAAGAAGAAGAACGCTACGAAAACGTATTGATGATTCGAAAATACAGTTCAAAAAAGACACAGGTCCCGCTCTCTTGCTGTTTTATTAAGGAACACTCTATTAATTAAGTAATAGAAGAGAGAAAGGAGATGGAAAGCAAAAAGAGAAGAAGAGAAGAGAGAAAGCTTGGCCGTCGGCTGCGCCGATGCGGCAGCCGACGGCTAGAACGAAGAGAAGGAAGAGGGATGCAAAGAAGAGAGATGCAATTTGGTGGAAAAAAATAAAAATTATTTTCGATTTAAAATTACCTAAATATCTAGTTATTTTGAGGTCAAGTGGTCGAGAGTATTTTTTCTCTTTGGGTTAGTGGGTAATTATCGGGTAAAGTGTCATTAGGGAAACTTTGGGAAGAAATATGTGGCTCCGCCTGTTTCGGCGTTAATTAAATTGTTAATTAATAAATGTTTAAGAATCACAGTGAAACAGGCTTCCAAAGTTTGTGGATCATCATTGTATATATTTATAGCAATAAATCTAACTATAAGTAGTAAAAAAGCACATATTCCTTACATTAAAATTAAGAAGACACCTTTAAGAAAATTAATCATAAAGATAAAAGCAATCTAATTAAAGTATTTTCTTACACCAATCTAATAGACACTTTAATTCTATAAATCTTAAACTTTTCTTTTCATGGATTTCTATATTTATGAGAGACTTTAAAACCTCTCAATATTTTTAAGGATCAAGTTACTGTAACACAAATTTTTTATACAAATTTATAACCATTGATTCATAATAATCAAGGCTTAGTAATTGCTCGTGGTTTGAAAAATAATTAATTTAACTTCTCATCAAAATCTATTAGATTACATTGAATCAAAGGTTATGAATTTGTGTCAAAATTTGTGTTATAGTCTAACCTATTTTTAAAAGCATTTTTTAATAAAAAAATATTTGAACGTATATATTTAAAAGTAGTAACAATACCAAATGAGCTCCAACTAAATGATTAAATTTTTGGTTTTTTGGTACCCACATGTTAATTATAGACATGCATGCACTCATATGATCTTATCCATTAAACCTTATCGAAGGTCCCAATCGGTCAAATATTAACATGTATCACATTAACACGCTTTCAATTAAGAATGAGGAGGACATTTTCTGTACCCCCAGGCCCCCCACAGCCCTTCATCCTACTTTTCAACGTGTTTTCACATACAGCATGATTGACGAGCGAATCCAAAGTTACAAAAATTGATGAGGACATGAGGGCTGTTCTTCAGTTTTGCTATTGATGTAGCCTTGGCAAATGGGGAAATAAAGTATCAAGTATTCAAACTTGGAATGTAGATGAGAGGCGGTTGAGGAATCCTGTTTATATACGTTAAACCAATGTTTTAAAACCCGTTGGTCAAACGGTAATGTCAGCATGTAAAAAAGTTTAAAATCTAGTAAAAACACACTTAAAATTCATAAGTTCCTATAGGTTTGAAATCTTACAAAAAAACCCTCAAATGCAAATCGGCAATCGACACAACTAGGCCAAATTGACCTGTTCCAATGTCGACAACACTCCCATCACCATGAAAACACTTTCCTCAGCCTCCTAGCCAAAACCCATCTCACCCCACCCCACTCGTCTCGCCAATCGCCGAAAACAGCTGTGGTTGCCACCGCAACTATTTTTGCGATTTCTAGTCGTTTCACTCATCGGAAATTGCCTTCATCACATCTTTAGACTCATTTGCCATTCTCTTCAAAACTCCCAACATCCTAGCCACCAATTGCTCGTCGATTGTCATCCTCAATTGCTGGCAAGGCGCCCAGCATTTTGCAATTTTTTATAATTCACCCACCGAAAACCACCTCTATCGCCACCTTTAGAATCATCGGCCTGATTATTCAAAACCCCATCTAGCCACCAATGTTGGTCGGTGATCGGCCGGATCGGGCGGGTTTTAAAACCTTGCGTTAAACTTCATATTAAAGTTTGATCTTATTCATAGTTAAGCTCTTGGGTTGAATAGTTATCAACATGACATACATTATACTCAAATCGATTCTAATTATCAAGTCACCCTTCAGCAGGAAAAAATGTGGTACTAACCATTCCTCGGTAGCAGGGTGGGGTGATAGGGACTCTGGGGTGTATTATTCAAGAGGTCTTAAGTTTGATTCTGTTGATTGCTTATAGGGTAGCCACTAAAAGGTTATCCGGTTGTTAACTTCAAAGCTGGGGGATTAATCGAGATGTACAAAACTGACCCAGACACCCCTAGCACCACAAAAAAAAAAAAAAAAAAAAAAAGTGGTACTAAACTAGATTAGATGATAAAAAATAATACTTATACGTATTCTCTACTTAGGACCATATGCAAGATTGTGATTATTGTCATGAAAGTCGATGTTTTATCAAAGTAGTGGATAATGTTAAAGAAGTTAGGTTATAAAAACAGTTGAATTCAAGCAATAAATTCGTAGACATATATAGGACCTACCACCCACGAGAAAATTCAGTTTAACCTTGTGAAGACATTCAATGCATGAATCAATCCCTCTGAAGCATATTTTGTTTGGATTCGCAATGAAATACATGTTATAGAACTTGATTCAATGAATCAATACCATAGATTGACTATTCTTTGTACTAATGTATTCTCGACTCAAATTTATAGTCCGTTCGTTTTCTATCTATCTCATACTTTGTCATTGTAAGATATGAGATATCTATTCACAAGTGAATTTTATTTAATATATTACAAGTGTTAGAAGTTGAATTTGCCCACATACAAATTAATAGACTGTGTGATACATTATATGTATATATATAGTTAAACTCTTCCTCCTTTAAACTAGCTTTTGTTTTGCCACTGTTTTGACTTGAAAGCTGGACCACTCTTCTCCATTCACGTAAGCTAATGCAAAATCAATTTTATTTGTTCTTTGCAAAAAGATGCACATCGACACAAAAGAAAACTAACCAAGAAAACGAGTTAAAAATCCTAAAGACATATTGATGATTGTTATTTCTTTGTTTTAATATAAAAATTTCAATCTATAGTGGTGAAGAAAGTTAAATCTATAATGGTAAGAAGTTAAGTTATAAAAACCTAAGAGGTTAGCCTCACAATCGAGATTGCTCCCTTTCGAGTTTCTGAGTTTAAACTTTGGGGTCATCTATCACATATTGTGGATTACTTGGTCATTTGGGTTTGTAGTGTTTCAATAGATCTGAGAGATTAGTTGAGGTGTGCATAAATTAACCCAAACATTATAGTTACCCAAAACAAAAAAAAAAAAAAAAAAAAAAAAAAAAAAAAGGTTAGGTTGTAACATGTTATAGGACCACATGGGAAAGTAAGTGTTATTAATGAATAAAATACCTAATAGTCCAAAAACATAATTGTGATTAATTGTCTGAATCTGTGAAATGAAGCAGTGGTCCTATTTAAATATGTGATTCACCTCTCCTTGCAAAGCATATTTTTGTTTGGTTTCTAAAACCAATACGTGTCTAAGATCACCTTATACTGCTTATTCAATGATCGTATGAAAAACGAGCCAAAATTCTCTACAACAGAAAATTCATGAAGAATGGTGATAATGGAAGACAGTTAGTTAGGTTACAACAGAAATTCAAATTCAACTGATAAATTTGTTGACCACTGCAAGGAAATTCTTGGATGTTTATGCAAAAGATGAACCAGTGGTCCACAATCAAGCAAATGTGAATTCAGGGATTTTTTCTTATTATTAATAAATAGTAGATACATATGATCTCATTTTAGTATATTTAAATGAATTTATTTTTGTGCTACAAGATCGTGCAATGGAAATACATTCGAGATAATGATGTAAGAAAAAGTTACATCGCATAAAAAAATGCGATATTTACGTGGTTCGATATAACCCGTTTACATCCACGAATGAGAGAAATCCTTTATGGCCAATACATAATTAATAGAGTTCAAACCAGTGCTTAGAGCGGAAACATCTTACAATCCTGTTCTAAGACACTTTACATGTTTAACAACTTACATCCTATATCTGTACTCTCATATTCTCGGTAACCTTGAATTGATCCACTCTATATTTATAGGTAGTATATGAGACATTTTATTTCTATAGGATTAACATTTCAATTTCTAATAGACCCTCTAATTCTATCTATTTGTAATCGTATTCTTTATTAATAATTTCCTAAAGACATACAACATTTTTAGAACAAATAGGAAAACGAGTCATAATATCCGAACATGTATTCATCCACCAACGGTATGTACAAAGTAGTCACCTACCATATTTGTGAATTACACGGTCCATTGGGCTTGAGGGTATTCAATAAAATCTTAGGATTAGTTAAGGTGCACGTAAGTTGACCTGGACACCTCAATTATCAAATAATAATAATAATAATAATAATAATAATAAATAATAATAATAATAAAAGTTTGCTAGGTTATAACAAAAATTCAAATTGAATGATAAATTGTACAAGTATAAGGACCACCAATCAAAATACATATAATCCAGAGACAATATTAACTCTAATTCTGATAAAATTGAGGGGGATCTGACTCCTCCCAATAAGGCCTTATTGAATAGGAGGATTACCCCCTCTTATAAACCAGTAAGCTTGAACGTGCCTAGTCGGTGTGGGACTCGAACACTCCACCTCATGGTCAGGCCCATAGTTGGGTCATTCCTGTTACCGGAGGTAGTTGTCGGCTCTAACTTCCATCGCTGGTCAAGCACTCAGTTCAACTGAATTTAGACTCTGATACCCTGATATAATTTGAGGTGGAGTTTATGCAAAAGATGAACCAGTGGTCTACCATCAAGCAAATGTCAATTAGAGAAAAAAAAAAAAAAAAATTCTTTTATTCATAATAGATACATGTGATCTCGTTTTGGTTGTACTTATTAAATGAATTTAATTTTGTTGTTATCTACCAATGGTATGTATATTAGAGGATAACGTATATATAATCGGAAAAGCCAATGAAAATGAGGACTCTTTTGCAATTTATATTAAACTTATAAATCAAATTCATAAAATAGAGACATCTTGAGAAAATAAAAATGGTCTTATTGACTATTACATGTGTAATCCTTTCTGGCACCATAAAAACCTAGCTAGCAACCAAATGTAGAAATAAAACCGTGAAATGGTGCAGAGATTTTTATTTTTATTTTTTATTTATTTTTATTTTTTATTTATTTTTATTTATTTTATTTTTTTATTTTTAAGAAAAAAGATCTAACAGCAATACCACTATAAATATGAGCAAGAGGGAAGGCTCAAAGCAAAGAAAACAACTACAAGTGTGTAATTGTGGAGTTTGTATTGAGTGATGGCAAGGTAAGCAAGTTTGTTCTCTACTTAATTGTTACATTTTATGTAACCCTTTCTAGCGCGACGGAATGTTATGATATTAAAAATCATAGCTCTTGTTTGTCTTTGGAGATTCATCTTTGACACAGGCAACAATCCGTATCTTCCCGCAAATGAAGGTGGGTTCTACGGGGACTCTTTGGCCCTGGATGACCTTCTTTGAAAAGCCCACTGGAAGAATCTCTGATGGCCGTCTATCCCTGACTTCATTGGTATGTACCTAAAACTAGCTACTGGTTACTGGAATAAATAATTACTATTCTCAGAATTACTTTGGGAAGACATTAATGTAATAATATATCTAAAATATGAACTTGGTTATGGCTGCAGCAACTAATGCAAAATTGAGAATACCAGTACATACCTGGAGGAAGGAGGTGTATTTATTGATGGAATCAACTTTGCTTCAGCCGGGGCAGGTGTTCTTGGCGAGAGTGAGACGGCGGTAATCTCTTCTTCTTTTCTCAGTGTGTTTCATGTCAGCACATATATATATATATATATAAATGTTTTTGTACATGTTTCAGATTAACCTTGGAGTACAATTACAATATTCACAGACCTTCGTAAAACAATGGAACAGTATTAGGCCACGAGGAAACCAAAAGTCTTTTGCACAGATCTGTGTTCTTGTTCAGCATAGGAGGCACGACTACATGAGGTTTAACATGAACAGAGATCCTACTCTTTCCGAGCAGGTTGAACTTGTAGGGCAGGTGATGGGTAATTATACAGCTGCACTCGAAGTAAGATATACTAACCTCCATAAATATATATATTAACTTAATGTACATATAATTATATATATTTTTGCAATTTTTGTAGGAATTTTATGCTCTAGGAGTAAGGAAAATTGGGTTCAGAATGTTGGACCTTGGGTTGCATGCCAAATGTCAGACAAAGAACCAATAACGTAGAGGTTGATTGTGTAGATAGATTCATGAGCCAGGCAACATTGCACAACAGTTTCCTAGCTACTGTCCTGGAGCAATTTGAGCTTAAACACCCTGGTTTCAAATATGCATTATTTGATTACTACAATGCTCTTCGTGACAGAACTCTTCATCCCACAGAGCATGGTAATTATCAATGCATCAATCAACCATTGTTTTTTATTGTACGTCTTTAATTAATTGGCAAGATTATTATTAAATTGATTATGGTTTTTTGTTGATCTTCCTTCAGGCTTCAAGGTAGGAAATGTTGCATGCTGTGGCAGTGGAGTACTGAATGGAGAAAATTGCAGTAGTACTCAGGAACCTTTCAATTTATGCGAAGATGTGAATGAGTATGTGTATTTTGATGGGGGTCATCATACTGATAGAGCCAACTTTCAACTAGCACAGCTGATGTGGAGAGGACCAAAACATGTCACAGGACCTTGTTACAATGTCGAGATGTTGTTTAATCTCTAAATATATGTAGGCTCGGAGAGCTCTAATTAAATAAAGGGGATGCATGCATGTAATATGTCATGTTCCCACAAAAATAAGGTGATTGGGATTTCTTGTCCATAGCCATAGGTCTAGGACTCGTGTGACAAAAGTTCTCTTGGGATATCTGATCTTGAGATTGTTGTTAATTTCTAGTTTTTATTTCAGTAATTTCAAAAAAATCTCTGACAACATTTCAAATTTTCATTTTCATTCATTTTCTGTCACGTCAGTTTGTGTACAAATCTTTATAAGATTTGTTTGCACATCAAGTATTATTGTAATACATTAACGACCAATATGATAAGTCAGCAATTACATTGATGACGATAGACGATGGTACGTTAAATGTTCGTATCTCATAGACCACATAAAATGTTCAACATACTCACATTGTTAACTTAACTTGACACAAATTAATTATTGGATGAGTACATGAAGACAGAAGTACGAGAATATTGTGTGTCAAAAGCAGACAATATCTTATCCAAAACTTGTGGTGTCGATTGAACATTAATTATTTTTCTTAAATAATTTACTTGAATGGCTCATGAATGAAACAGTCTAGATTAATATGAAACCAAAAAAACAATAAACACACACAAACCACAAACAGTAAAGAGAAAAAAGAAATACGAACGATTTACTCTGGTTCACCCAATTAACAGACTACGTAATACTACCTCACCTTTCTCGTTTATAATGAATGTTATTTGCCCTATGATTTGCTATCACACTCATATTAAGAGAAAAGAATATTTATATATTAAGTTTAAAAGACTAAGATCTAATATTACAAAGATTTATATTCCTAAGCCCAAACCTAATAATAAACTAATAACTTAGAGAAATCGTTCAATGGCTTTCATGAAAAAAATCCAAACTGCCTACAGGCCTAGGGACGCTGCCCCTTATTGTTAAAGTGATCGATAACTCCAATAATGAGGACCTATTCCCATCTTAATATTGAAGATGAGGATAGATATATATTTCTCATTAGCCAAACACAAATAGAGGAGAAATCAGTTATTTAGAAGTTTAAAGTGGCCTTTGAACCATAACATAAAGATGATTCTTCAAATAATTTACAAAATAACCCAAATTCTACTTGTTTGTAAGAAACAAAAAAGTTAACACATCAAACAGTGCCCACCACTGGTTCAAGCCCACATTAAGTGTCCATAAGTCAAACTTTGCTTCTTATATTCACACTCTCCACTCACCATTTTAAAAGCAATCGCCATGTGACCACCACCACCACCAAATATTGATTAATGGTTCTTACTTGCAAACTACAACAGGATTCAATGGCAAGTCTGAAATTCCTTTGTTGTGGGATACTCCTATTTGTAAGTATTCTTCTTAATCCAATTAGTTGCCATGCTCAGTCAAAGCCTGGAGCTGCAAAACGAAAGCCTTGTTTGTGTTTGGAGACTCCTTGTTTGATCCTGGCAACAACCAGTATCTAAATGACAGCAGAAAAGGAATTGCAACAACCTTTCCTTATGGAGAAACGTACTTCAAACGCCCCACTGGAAGGCTTTCTGATGGCCGCACAGTGCCTGATTTGATTGGTACAACACATTAATAATGTTAGCTAGTCAATTGCTTCAATTACTTGATGTATCAATGAATTACTTTGAGTGAATTTTGATAGTTTATACTTCATTAAATTGTTGCAGCCCAGTTTTCCAATTTGCCTATACTTGCACCATACCTGCAACCGGGTCCTCATCAACTCACTGATGGGGCAAACTTTGCTTCTGCTGGAGCTGGAGTTCTTGATGAAACTCATCCTGGAACGGTATGCATCTTTGTTTTCTGTATTTTGCATAAAATTAAGGAATATATATAATCTGAGTAGGAATTTAACCTATTTGTGTCTCTTTTTGGCAGATACGCCTGAGGTTGCAGCTAAGCTATTTTAAGGATGTGGCGAAATCACTGAAGCAGAAACTAGGTGAAGCAGAAGCCAATAGGGTGTTGAGGAATGCGGTTTATTTGTTTAGCATTGGAGGCAATGATTACTTCAGCTTTTCTCAGACAAACCCCAGAGCTTCTCAGTCCTCCAAGGGTCAATATGTTAAAACAGTCATTGGAAACTTAACATCTGTGCTCAAAGTTAGTCATTTGTCAGAGTTCTAAACTTAATTTTGTAATATTTAGATGATAACTAAGAGTTCATGTTGTAAATTTGCTGCAGGAGATATATAATATAGGAGGGGGGAAAATTGCATTTCAAAATGCAGGGCCATTGGGTTGCCTACCAGGAATGAAATCTTTTGATCCTAAGCTTGGAAGTGCTTGCTCTGAGGAACCCTCATCACTAGCAAGACTACACAACAGATATCTAGCTGTTGTCCTTAAGAAGCTATCAACCCAGTTGCCAGGATTCAAATATGCAATATTTGATTACTACAATGCACTTGGTGACAGAGTTGCTAAAGAGGTTAGCCTCACAATCGAGATTTGCTCCCTTTCTGAGTTTCTGAGTTTAACTTGGGTCATCTATCACAATAATATTGTGGATTACTTGGTCATTTGGGTTTGTAGTTATTCAATAGATCTGAGAGATTAGTTAGGTGTTGCATAAATTAACCCAAACTTATAGTTACCCAAAAAAAAAAAAAAAAAAAAAAAAAAAAAAAAAAGGTTAGGTTGTAACATGTTATAGGAACCACAACATGAAAGTAAGTGTTATTAATGATAATAATACCTACTAGTCCAAAAACATTAATTGTGAAAATTGTCTGAATCTGTGAAATGAACAGTGGTCCTATATTAAATATGTCGATTCACCTCTCCTTGCAAAGCATATTTTTTTGTTGGTTCTAAAACCAATACGTGTCTAAGATCACCTTATACTGCTTCATTCAATGACGTATGAAAAACGAGCCAAAATTCTCTACAACAGAAAATCATGAAGAATGGTGATAATGGAAGACAGTTAGTTAGGTACAACAGAAATTCAAATTCAACTGATAAATTTGTTGACCACTCAAGGAAATCTTGGATGTTTATGCAAAAGATGAACCAGTGGTTCCACAATCAAGCAAATTGAATTCAGGGATTTTTCTATTATTAATAAATAGAATACATATGATCTCATTTTAGTATTTTTAAAGAATTTATTTTTTGTGCTACAGATCGTGCAATGGAAAATAACATTCGAGATTAATGATGTAAGAATAAAGTTACATCGCATAAAAATGCGATATTACGTGGTTCGATATAACCCGTTTACATCCACGAATGAGAGAAACCTTTATGGCCAATACATTTAATAGTTCAACCCAGTGCTTGAGCGGAAACAATCTTACAATCCTAGTTTCTAAGACACTTTACATGTTTAACAACTTTACATCCTATATCTGTACTCTCATATCTCTGGTAACCTTGAATGATTCCCCTCCTATATTTATAGGTAGTATAAGACATTTTATTTCTAATAGATTCTTTCAATTTCTAAATGACCCTCATAATTCTATTTCTATTTGTATTCGTATTCTTTTTAAATAATTTCCTAAAGACATACAACATTTTTAGAACAATAGGAAAACGAGTCTAATATCCGAACATGTTTCATCCACCAACGGTATGTATACAAAGTAGTCACCTACCATATTTGTGACTTACACGGTCCATTGGGCTTGTAGGTATTCAATAAAATCTTAGGATTAGTTAAGGTGCACGTATAACCTGACACCTCAATTATCAATAAATAATAATAAATAATAATAATAATAATAATAATAATAATAAAAGTTTGCTAGGTTTATAACAAAAATTCAAATTGAATTGAATTTGTACAAGTATATAGGACCACCAATCAATACTATAATCCAGAGACATATTAACTCTAATTCTGATAAAATTTGAGGTGGATCTGACTCCTCACCCAATAGGCCTTATTGAATAGGAGGATTACCCCCTCTTATAACCAGTAAGCTTGAACGTGCCTAGTCGGTGTGGGACTCGAACACTCCACCTCATGGTCAGGCCCATATGTTGGTCATTCCTGTTACCGGAGGTAGTTGTCGGCTCTAACTTCTCATCCGCTGGTCAAGCACTCAGTTCAACTGAATTTAGACTCTGATACCATGATATAATTTGAGGTGGAAGTTTATGCAAAAGATGAACCAGTGGTCTACCTCAAGCAAATGTCATTTAGGAAAAAAAAAAAAAATTCTTATTATTCATATATATACATGTGATCTCGTTTTGGTTGTACTTATTTAAATGAATTTAATTTTGTTGTTCATCTACCAATGGTATGTATAATAGAGGATAACGTATATATACTCGAAAAGCACATGAAATGAGGACTCTTTTTGCAATTTATATAACTTATAAATCAAATTCATAAAATAGAGACATCTTGGAAAAGAAATAAAAATGGTCTTACTGACTATTACATGTGTAATCCTTTCTGGCACCATAAAACCCTAGCTAGCAACCAAATGTAGAAATTAAACCACGTGATAATGGTGCAGAGATTTTTTTTTATTTTTTATTTATTTTATTTTTTATTTATTTTTATTTATTTTTATTTTTTTTATTTTTTAAGAAAAAAGTCTAACAGCAATACCACAAATATGAGCAGAGGGAAGGCTCAAAGCAAGAAAACAACTACAAGTGTGTATTGTGGAGTTGTGTATTGAGTGATGGCAAGTCGAAGCAGTTTGTTCTCTACTTAATTGTTACATTTTATGTAACCCTTTCTAGCGCGACGGAATGTTATGATATTAAAATCATAAGCTCTTGTTGTCTTTGGAGATTCACTCTTTGACACAGCAACATCCGTATCTCCCGCAAATGAAGGTGGGTTTCCTACGGGGACTCTTTGGCCCTACGATGACCTTCTTTGAAAAGCCCACTGGAAGAATCTCTGATGGCCTCTACTCCCTGACTTCATTGGTATTACCTAAAACTAGCTACCTGGTTACTGGAATAAATAATTACTATTCTCAGAATTACTTTGGGACATTAATGTAATAATAATATTCTAAAATATGAATTGGTTCTGGCTGCAGCCTAATGCAAAATTGAGACTACCAGTACCATACCTGGAGGAAGGAGTGTTTATTATTGATGGATCAACTTTGCTTCAGCCGGGGCAGGTGTTCTTGGCGAGAGTGAGACGGCGGTAATCTCTTCTTCTTCTTCTAGTGTGTTTCTGTCAGCACATTATATATATATATATTATAAAGTTTGTACATGTTTCAGATTAACCTTGGAGTACATTAATATTTCAAGACCTTCGTAAAACAATTGGAACAGATATTAGGCCACGAGGAAACCAAAAGTCTTTTGCACAGATCTGTGTTCTTGTTCAGCTAGGAGCAACGACTACATGAGGTTTAACATGAACAGGATCCTACTCTTTCCGAGCAGGTTGAACTTGTAGGGCAGGTGATGGTAATTATACAGCTGCACTCGAAGTAAGATATATCCTAACCCTTCAATAATATATATATATTAACTAATGTACATATAATTATATATTTTTGCAATTTTTGTAGGAATTTTAGCTCTAGAGTAGGAAAATTGGGTTCCAGAATGTTGGACCTTTGGGTTGCATGCCAATGTCAGACAAAGAACAAATAACGTAGAGGTTGATTGTGTAGATAGATTCATGAGCCGGCAACATTGCACAACAGTTTCCTATCTCGTCCTGGAGCAATTTGAGCTTAACAACCCTGGTTTCAAATATGCATTATTTGATTACACATGCTCTTCGTGACAGAACTCTTCACCCACAGAACATGGTAATTATCAATGCATCAATCAATCATTGTTTTTTTATCGTACGTCTTTAATTAATGGCAAGATTATTTAAATTGATTATGGTTTTTGTTGATCTTCCTCAGGCTTCAAGGTAGGAAATGTTGCATGCTGTGGCAGTGGATACTGAATGGAGAAAATGCAGTAGTACTCAGGAACCTTTCAATTTATGCGAAGATGTGAATGAGTATGTGTATTTTGATGGGGGTCTCATACTGATAGAGCCAACTTCAACTAGCACACTGATGTGGAGAGGACCAAAACATGTCCCAGGACTATTTTTGCGATTTCTAGTCGTTTCACTCATCGGAAATTGCCTTCATCACCATCTTTAGACTCATTTGCCATTCCTCTTCAAAACTCCCAACATCCTAGCCACCAATTGCTCGTCGATTGTCATCCTCAATTGCTAGCAAGGCGCCACGCATTTTTGCAATTTTTTATAATTTCACCCACCGAAAACCACCTCTATCGCCACCTTTAGACTCATCGGCCTGTATTATTCAAAACCCCATCCTAGCCACCAATTGTTGGTCGGTGATCGGCCGGATCGGGTCGGGTTTTAAAACCTTGCGTTAAACTTCATATTAAAGTTTGATCCTTATTTCATAGTTCAAGCTCTTGGGTTGAATAGTTTATCAACATGACATACATTATACTCAAATCGATTCTCTTAATTTATCAAGTCACCCTTCAGCAGGAAAAAATGTGGTACTAACCATTCCTCGGTAGCAGGGTGGGGTGATAGGGACTCTGGGGTGTATTATTCAAGAGGTCTTAAGTTTGATTCTGCTTGATTGCTTATAAGGGTAGCCACTAAAAGGTTTATCCGGTTGTTAACTTCAAAGCTTGGGGGATTAATCGAGATGTACAAAAACTGACCCAGACACCCCTAGTCACCAAAAAAAAAAAAAAAAAAAAAAAATGTGGTACTAAACTAGATTAGATTGGATAAAAAATAATACTTATATACGTATTCTCTACTTAGGACCATATGCAAGATTGATGATATTTTGTCATGAAAGTCGATGTTTTATCAAAGATAGTGGATAATGTTAAAGAAAGTTAGGTTATAACAACAGTTGAATTCAAGCAATAAATTCGTAGACATATATAGGACCTACCACCCACGAGAAAATTCAGTTTAACCTTGTGAAGACATTCAATGCATGAATCAATCCCTCTTGAAGCATATTTTGTTTGGATTCGCAATGAAATACATCATGTTATAGAACTTGATTCAATGAATCAATACCATAGATTGACTATTCTTTGTACTAATTGTATTCTCGACTCAAATTTATAGTCCGTTCGTTTTCTATCTATCTCATAATTTGTCATTGTAAGACATGAGATATCTATTCACAAAGTGAATTTTATTTAATATATTACAAGTGTTAGAAGTTAAATTTGTCCCATATTATCAAATTAATAGACTGTTGTGATACATATATATGTATATATATAGTTAAACTCTTTCCTCCTTTAAACTAGCTTTTGTTTTGCCACTGTTTTGACTTGAAAGCTGGACCACTCTTCTCCATTCACGTAAGCTAATGCAAAATCAATTTTATTTGTTCTTTGCAAAAAGATGCACATCGACACAAAAGAAAACTAACCAAGAAAACGAGTTAAAAATCTCTAAAGACATATTGATGATTGTTATTTCTTTGTTTTTAATATAAAAATTTCAATCTATAGTGGTGAAGAAAGTTAAATCTATAATGGTGAAGAAAGTTAAGTTATAAAAACCTTAAGAGGTTAGCCTCCAATCGAGATTTGCTCCCTTTCTGAGTTTCTGAGTTTAAAATTGGGGTCATCTATCACAATAATATTGTGGATTACTTGGTCATTTGTGGTTTGTAGTGTATTCAATAGATCTGAGAGATTAGTTGAGGTGTGCATAAATTAACCCAAACATTATAGTTACCCAAAAAAAAAAAAAAAAAAAAAAAAAAAAAAAAAGGTTAGGTTGTAACATGTTATAGGACCACAACATGGAAAGTAAGTGTTATTAATGAATATAATCCTACATAGTCCAAAAACATTAATTGTGATTAATTGTCTGAATCGTGAAATGAAGCGTGGTCCTATATTAAAATGTCGATTCACCTCTCCCTTGCAAAGCATATTTTGTTTGGTTTCTAAAACCAATACGTGTCTAAGATCACCTTATACTGCTTCATTCAATGATCGTATGAAAAACGAGCCAAAATTCTCTACAACAGAAAATCATGAGAATGGTGATAATGGAAGACAGTTAGTTAGGTTACAACAGAGAATTCAAATTCAACTGATAAATTTGTTGACCACTGCAAGGAATTTTGGATGTTTATGCAAAAGATGAACCAGTGGTCCACAATCAAGCAAATGTGAATTCAGGGATTTTTCTATTATTAATAAATAGTAGATACATATGATCTCATTTAGTAATATTTAAATGAATTTATTTTTTGTGCTACAAGATCGTGCAATGAAAATTACATTCGAGATTAATGATGTAAGAATAAAGTTACATCGCAAAAAAAATGCGATATTTACGTGGTTCGATATAACCCGTTTACATCCACGAATGAGAGAAATCCTTTATGGCCAATACATAATTAATAGAGTTCAACCCAGTGCTTAGAGCGAAACATCTTACAATCCTAGTTCTAAGACACTTTACATGTTTAACAACTTTACATCCTATATCTGTACTCTCATATTCTCTGGTAACCTGAATTGATTCCCACTCCTATATATAGGTAGTATATGAGACATTTTATTTCTAATAGGATAACATTTCAATTTCTAATATGACCCTCATAATTCTATTTCTATTTGTAATCGTATTCTTTATTAAATATTTCCTAAAGACATACAACATTTTTAGAACAAATAGGAAAACGAGTCATAATATCCGAACATGTTATTCATCCACCAACGGAGTATACAAAGTAGTCACCTACCATATTTGTGACTTACGGTCCATTGGGCTTGTAGGGGATTCAATAAAATCTTAGGATTAGTTAAGGTGCACGTAAGTTGACCTGGAAACCTCAATTATCAAATAATAATAAAATAATAATAATAATAATAATATAATAATAATAATAAAAAGTTTGCTAGGTTATAACAAAAATTCAAATGAATTGATAAATTTGTACAAGTATATAGGACCACCAATCAAAATACATATAATCCAGAGACAATATTAACTCTAATTCTGATAAAATTTGAGGTGGATCTGACTCCTCACCCAATAAGGCCTATTGAATGGAGGATTACCCCCCTTTATAAACCAGTAAGCTTGAACGTGCCTAGTCGGTGTGGGACTCGAAACATCCACCTCACGGTCAGGCCCATATGTTGGGTCATTCCTGTACCGGAGGTAGTTGTCGGCTCTAACTCTTCACGCTGGTCAAGCACTCAGTTCAACTGAATTTAGACTCTGATACCATGATAAATTTGAGGTGGAAGTTTATGCAAAGATGAACCAGTGGTCTACCATCAAGCAAATGTCAATTTGAGAAAAAAAAAAAAAAAAAAATCTTATTATTCATAATAGATACATGTGATCTCGTTTGGTTGTACTTATTTAAATGAATTTATTTGTGTCATCACCAATGGTAGTATATATAGAGGATAAACGTATATAAATCGGAAAGCACATGAAAATGAGGACTCTTGCAATTTATATTAAACTTATAAATCAAATTCATAAAATAGAGACATCTGAGAAAATAAAAATGGTCTTACTTGACTATTTACATGTGTAACCTTTCTGGCACCATAAAACCCTATAGCAACCAAATGTAGAAATAAACCATGTGTAATGGTGCAGAGAATTTTTATTTTATTTTTATTATTTTTATTTTTATTTATTTATTTATTTTTATTTTTTTTATTTTTTAAGAAAAAAGACTAACAGCAATACCACTATAAATATGAGCAAGAGGGAAGGCTCAAAGCAAGAAAACAACTACAAGTGTGTAATTGTGGAGTTGTGTATTGAGTGATGGCAAGTCGAAGCAAGTTTGTTCTCTACTTAATTGTTACATTTTATGTAACCCTTTCTAGCGCGACGGAATGTTATGATATTAAAAATCATAAGCTTGTTTGTCTTTGGAGATTCACTCTGACACAGGCAACAATCCGTATCTTCCCGCAAATGAAGGTGGGTTTCCTACGGGGACTCTTGGCCTACGGGATGACCTTCTTTGAAAGCCCTGGAAGAATCTCTGATGGCCGTCTACTCCCTGACTCATTGGTATGTACCTAAAACTAGTACCTGGTTACTGGAATAAAATAATTACTATTCTCAGAATTACTTTGGAAGACATTAATGTAATAATAATATTCTAAAATATGAACTGGTTACTGGCTGCTGCAGAACTAATGCAAAATTGAGAATACCAGTACCATACCTGGAGGAAGGAGGTGTATTTATTGATGGAATCAACTTTGCTTCAGCCGGGGCAGGTGTGTCTTGGCGAGAGTGAGACGGCGGTAATCTCTTTCTTCTTCCTCAGTGTGTTTCATGTCAGCACCTATATATATATATATATATATAAATGTTTTTGTACATGTTTCAGATTAACCTGGAGTACAATTACAATATTTCAAGACCTTCGTAAAACAATTGGAACGATATTAGGCCACGAGGAAACCAAAGTCTTTTGCACAGATCTGTGTTCTTGTTCAGCAAGGAGGCAACGACTACCTGAGGTTTAACATGAACAGAGATCCTACTCTTTCCGAGCAGGTTGAACTTGTAGGGCAGGTGATGGGTAATTATACAGCTGCACTCGAAGTAAGATATATCCTAACCCTTCAATAATAATAATATAACTTAATGTACATATAATAATATATTTTGCAATTTTTGTAGGAATTTTATGCTCTAGGGTAAGGAAAATTGGGTTCCAGAATGTTGGACCTTTGGGTTGCATGCCAAATGTCAGACAAGAACCAATAACGTAGAGGTTGATGTGTAGATGATCATGAGCCAGGCAACATTGCACAACAGTTTCCTAGCTACTGTCCTGGAGCAATTTGAGCTTAAACACCCTGGTTTCAAATATGCATTATTTGATTACTACAATGCTCTTCGTGACAGAACTCTTATCCCACAGAACATGGGAATATCAATGCATCAATCAATCATTGTTTTTTTATCGTACGTCTTTAATTAATTGGCA